ACATTTGTTATAAATTGTTTTTAGAGCCGACTATTGTTGATTTAATGTTAATTTTTGTTTTTCAAACGTTTCAAATAATACATTTTACAGGGAAACCCATTTTTCTTAAATTTTGAATTACAGCGCCATCTGTTGATAAATTGAAAAAAGTTTTAAATAAAAGTTATTCATTTTTTTATGTACTACTAAAATCTGTAAAAAAGGGTTATCCCATTAGACTCTTCAAAGTTACCCCCCCTTTTACCCTTAAAGAGGGGTAGGGGGTGGCTGAAGGTAGCACCAAATAATGTCGCCTTTGGTCACATTAACCTTTTATTTAAAACATTTTTCCGTGAAATGCGTATTTCTCGAGATATTGAGCTGTCTCAAGTTGAAAGAAACAGCCTGTATCGGCGCAGTAGTTTTCAATGGATCAAATCATTTGATCCATCCATCTGAAAACTACTGCGCATATATGATGTAACTACTCCACACAGATCCAACCATCTTGTACCTACTGCGCATGTCCGTCATTTTGAATCCGCAATTTTGTTTTTTTTTAATGGATATCAAATTCTGAATCAGGGACCCCATAAATATCTGAATACTAAATTTTACCCAAACCATTAAAGCCGAACGACGAATTTTCGTTATATTGGATCAGCCATTTTATTTAAAAAAAAAATGGATATCAAATTTGTAATCAGGCCCTCAAAAACCACATGTTGTTGATAAGTTTATTGAATAAGCAATGCTTATTAAGCATACGGGTTTTTTTAATAGTATAAGGAGTGCCATAGATGTGCTTATACAGGGTAAAGTTTAAAAATTATTATTATTTTATAAGTAATTTTTTCTTGGTTAACGTTAAGTTGTGTTATAAAATAATACAACGTTAACCAGGAACAAATTTTGTTTATTATGAAATGCGAATAATGTTCTCATTGGTCCAAATAAACATCGTCATTTATGTGCAAAATTATAATTTTTATGTAAAAAAATTTTTTTATAATCGAGAGAACGAGAGAGATCGAGAGAAACGAGAAATTCTCGAGCGAGAGAGGGCATTCTCTCGTCTCGTCTCGAGCCTTTTTTCGAGAGAAAATCGCCCTCTCGTCTCGTCGAGACGAGACGAGACGAGACGAGAGGCGAGAATCTCTCGTATCGGCGGCATCACTAATCTTTATCCTTAAAATTTCAAGTTTAAAATATAATGTTTATAATAATTGTTTGATAAAATATCAATTCCATAATTTTGCTTTTTATTATCATTTCTTCGCCATAATTAAAAATAACAACCAATAAAGAATTAATATGCGTATAGACATCGTTTTGTATACAGTAAACATCACATAACTAAATACATTCCCTGCAGGGAATGTATTTAGTTGGTGGCTCGATAATGATAATTGTAATACAATTAAATCACCCCAATGCTATTCATTAAAACTTTGATTTAATTTTAATGGTAACAAAGGTATTAAATCACATGTAATTTGAAACTGAGTAAGTACTACACAATATGTAATATATGTATAAATAATATATTATATATTGTATGTAGAGATGGGATTTTAGTTTTATTACCTATTTGTAGAAATGGGAATCGAAAAGTTTCCATTTTAAGGAAACTTTCCGTTTTGGAAAGTTTCCAATTGGGAATTTATTTTCATTTTGAAAGTTTATTTTAAGCTACCGGAAACATTCCTTGGAAACTTTCCTTGTTTTTTCATTTAAATCATTTAAATTAAATGTTAACCGCTGATTTTCGTTAAGGCCAAGAAACTTTGAATAAGAATTTAATGTGTGCTAATTTAAAGCAAAAGAAAAAGTATAAATAATGTAAGTTATGTTACATAACCTCAATGAAGCCGGATTATTCAGCATCATCACAAAAAAACTTAAAAAAAGGTAAACAAAATAAAAACAATAAACAAAGTTAAAATCATTCAAAAGGTAAACAAAATAAAAACAATAAACAAAGTTAAAATCATTCTTACATTTTTGTTGTTTATTTATAGGCATAGCACAATGCCAAGAGAAAAATCTAGTGTTTGGAATTATTACAAAATAGTGCAAAAAAAGAAAAAAGACCATGATCAATGCAAGTTCTGTAAGAAAATCTATCCATACAAAATTTTAATTCTACTGAGAGTCAAGAAGAAAGACCACAAAGTAGCAATGCCAGTACTGGAAACATAAAAGGATTTGTTGATAATATGTCTCCTAATGAACAGGAAAATTGGAAGAACTATTTGCTCGAGCAATTTACTCCAGTTCTTGCCCCTTTAGTTTAGTCGAAAACCCTGATGTTGAAATATTTTTTAAGCAACTACGTCCAAGTTTCAGGCTACCTGGAAGAAAGAAATTAAGTACAACGTTGCTTCAGTGGCGGCTCGTGGGTGTACAGGAGGGTGAGGCTACATAAGGTTAATTTTGTCTAAATACGAATAAATTTCCACGTCACCCGGGAGGTATTATTCTGCGACGCGTTGACCTTTTTTAAAATGGAGCCGATAGCACTACTAAACCAAAAAATAAAGTCTAAAAAACAAAACAAACAAAATATCACATCAAAGACTAGTTTTAATCTTAAACTTAAAATATAGTCTTAAAAAAGTTAAAAATAAATAAATTAATCAAAAAATAAAAATAAAACTAAAAAGTCGACCCCTACCTAAGTATTAAAAAATATAAAATACTATACGTCTATCTTTTAAGATTGAAAATTTATCTATTATCGATGGTTATTTGACAAAACATCATAAGCGACAAAACCTAAATTTTACAGGAGAGATTTTTTTTGTGTGGGAGCTTTATTTTTAAAGTTATTTATCTAAAAACTGGTGAGGCTTTATTTTATTAATGTAGAATTCAAATATTTAAGTTAGATCGAATCCAATCTAAAATTTTCATTAAATTTTGTAGCATACGATATTTTATAAGAACATCTTTAGGAAAATGTAAAAATAGTCTTGTCGCTTAAGTTACATTAACGTTACTTTGTGGGATATAGATTTGATGATTACTTTTGTCAAAACATTGTTAGCGACATTTAATTTTTTACTTTTATTATTAAATAAAAAATAATTAGAAAAAAATTAATTTATATCACCAACGAAATTTTGCCAAAGAATGTTTGAAAATGAAAATCTACATTAGCTTTCTTTGAAAAAAACGAACGATTTTTATTTACAAACCAGTATCTAACCAATGGAGCCTACACAAGGAGCCAGAACTTAATGTCTGTGCAAACCAACCTTTAGGGACATTTTTGACAAGATGACAAGCAGTTTCAAAAAGTTGACAGAGAATCTAACCTTAAAACCACACAATCAACAATGAAATACGTCAAACTGACAACTTTCAGAAAGTAAGTTTAGTGGTTACTAAAGGCAGTTTTACATTTTGAAATCAACTGAATGACAGGTCGTTCGAAATTTTTTGGCCGTCATCTAACCGTTATAAATTTAAGTTAAATTATTTGACGTTATAACAACATACAATTACTACAAAAAACACTTTTAACGAACCACACTACGTAAAAACAATTATAATTAGGATAACTATTAATAATGCAATGATAAAAAGGAATTATAAGCTTTTGATCACATAAAATATTGTTTTAAAACTTGGTAGCAACATTGTGGATTGTGGTAGCAATCACGATACACGAATAAACTGTTTAGAACGGGAATAACGCCTTGATAGATCAATGCGGAACCACAATATTATCGTAAGCGACACAATGTTAAATCGCAAACGCCATGTTTCGGAGTTGCTTACGATTATTTGTCAGGAACATATAGGCGCTTACGTTATAAATCGGTAACAAATTAAAAAGAAGAGGCGCTTACAATAATAAAAATATTCAAACTGACCAATATTAGATTCCAAAATTGGAATAACTATTATGTTAACATGTGCAACTTATCGTAACTGACACTTTGATAAAATAAAAAGTAATTCAACAAAATTGTCGCTTACGATGTTTTGTCAAATAACGTTATTTGGTCGTAAAATTGTGGGTCTGCAGTGAGATTTAAAAGTAATTCTAAATTTTCAAACCGCGTCTCTAATTGAAGAATTATGCAATCTATTATTTCAAAATATAAAATTTGCTTAATAAAAACTGCTAAATCTACCTTAGTGTGTTCCCTACAATAATTAAATAAGAAATTTTACTAATCGAGACAAAAACTATAAAAGATCAGCCAAAAGTTTTAAATAATTTAATCTGAATCAAAACAATAACGTGCTCTACAAACGCTAAGAGAAGACTGGCAACCTTCTTTGTCTCCGCAGCGGAGACTCCGCTGGCATCCCACCATAAACGGACGGTCCGTTACGGACCACCAATCAGAACAAACCAAGCTAACTAAATTTCGCCTCATCTACGGTGTTTATTCGCGAACTTACGGCAATATTTTTGTTGGTGAGTCATTTTCGCTTTCAAGAGGTAAATGGGAGCTTCCGAGGCTGTGAAAATTTCGCCTCTGTCCAAGCGACTCTCAACGATGCACGTTAACTTGACGCGCTTTGCGCCTGGATTTTTATTTACGCTTAATATGATTAATTGGTTTTTTACTTTTTATTGGGTAGAACTGTTGTAAAAATACACTTGTAATAGGCAAAAATATAAATACAAACAGTCGTTCGTTCCTTCATTTTAAGGGTGAGGCGCGGCCTCAGAGGCCTACCCTGACGAGCCGCCACTGCGTTGCTTAATGCTAAATATGCTAGAATCCAAAAAATAGTTGAAGATAAAGTACAAAAGGCTGATGATATGACAATTCTTTCAGATTGTTGGACAAATGTCAATGGGGTGGCTGATGATATGACAATTCTTTCAGATGGTTGGACAAATGTCAATGGGGTGGCACTAATAAATATAATTGTAGCTACTCCTGAGCCTGTATTTTTAAAAACGATAGACTCAGGCACAGACAGACACACTTCTGCTTATTTAGCTCAGATGTATCTTTAAGAAATTAAACAAATTGGCCCCAGTAACATTTCAGGCATTGTAACAGATAATGCCGCAGCTATGAAAGGTTCGTGGGCTATAATTCAAGAAACATATCCACATATTTTGGCATATGGCTGTTTAGCACATGGTTTAAATTTACTGGCTAAGGACTTTGCTAAAATCCCCACAGTGAAGATGGTTATTAATTCTGCCAAGGATATTGTGAAATTTTTCAACAATAAACATCTTCCAAAAGGAGTGGTTAAACCCAAAAAACACTGAAAGTTCCAGTGGATACTAGATGGGGTACCTATTTTATAATGTTGGAAAGTTTAAACATTAATAAAGATAATTTAAAAGCCTCATGTGTAGAGATAAAATTAAAAGACAGTATCGATCCCAAGATAAAGAATACCATAGAGGATAATAAATTTAGGGAAAAATTGAACAAAATATTAAAACTTCTACAACCTATATCAGCATCAATAAACTGCCTAGAAGGGGATGAAGCAACCCTTCAATATTCTTACAAACATCTTAAAGATATAGAAAATTATAAAACACAGTACTTGGATGCTTTTGCTATTTTTTATGTGCAATGGTTGTCACTACTAGTCAGAAATGTTAATTTTAAACATTCAATTTTCTTAGTTTCTTTAAGAAACTTTTTTGACCCATCACTGGTAATATTCATAATTTATTGACTTAACAACAAACCAATAACTCGCAGCAGAGCAGCAACAGCAGCCCAGCAGACAAGACCTGAAGATGGTACATGAGATTGTACCGAAACGTCGTCAGACATACGGTTCTTTTAAGAACCAAAAACCAACAACACGGAGCTGATCCCGAAAAAACACTAATACATACATAATAATTTTATTAAGTTAAAATAGTGTTTTTAAGATTTTTTTTCTAATACATACATAATAATTTTATTAAGTTAAAATAGTGTTTTTAAGATTTTTTTTCTTTAAGGGGCGGCAATCTTTTAATTGCACCCGGCGGCAAAAACACTTGGTGCGGCCCTGCGAATGATGCAAATGACGTGAGTGACGCGAATGTTAGATTCTTGTGCAATGTTGCATTTTTACACATTCTGTAAAATATTTGCGCCCCTTTAAGAGGCTGTTACAGTAGCTCCCTTAGGAGCTATTTGAGAAAGCAAGTGTAGATTATTGCACACTATTTTCCGGACAGCCTGTGTTTGTTACCGCCAATATCCGAAAACGGTCATTATGCATAATAACTAAGCATTTTAGGAATTATGCCTAAAGCCTAGGTATTTCAGTTAATATCTATTGTGGGCGGGGCGAATCAGTCCATTGCAATGTATTAATGCCACTTCTCAATTAAGCTGATTAAAGTTTAATGAAAATTAAACTAAACTTAACAATAAGATTTTTAAAGTAGCTCAGAAATATGATAATACATAAAACATTTAGCCACACTGAAAGAAATTTGTTGCTAAAAGTAAATACAAATTTATACTAAAAATTTTATACTAGTGCTTTACACATTTATACTACTGTTTATTATGAATGTATGGTAAATTTTGTAATACATTTATTGTAAAGAAGATATGTTAGATCTAAATAAAAATAAACTTACCCTTACTATAAAATGTAAACTATAAGTGAATTACAGCAAAAAAATATTGCTAGAAACACCATTTATATTGCTAGGGCAGCAATAGGCTGCTAACCAAACGAATATATTTGTTTTAGCAATGTATGTGGTAGTCTATATATGAAACATAAAATATATTTGCCCTAATTATTTTTTTATTTAACTTTAGTATATATTTCTTTCAGTGCATTATGCATATTTTCTAGTAACGTCATTGTTATTAGGGGTAATATTCTACTATTGCATAATACAAAAAATATAAAAAATCCAAAAAATCTGTTTAAATCGTTTATTGTTAAAACAGGCAAGCTGACTTTTAGACCAGTGCAGAAGCCTTTAAAAATGGTAAAAAGAGAAAAAAAATAACAGTTGGATGAAACCCATTGGAAAAGGAGGGGAATATAATAAAAATTAAAGGAAAAATAAATTACGGTCGATCTGAGTTCGGGAAGTGGGAGGGGGGGGTTTAAGGGTAAAAAAAGGTTTATCTCGATTTCCGGCAAAACTACAAGTCCTATGGAAAAAAGTTAAATGTCAAAGTTGTAGGTAATAAAAAGATCTACAACTTTTGTATTTACAATTTTTTCACATAACCTCAAAATTTATGTGAAAAATTCAAAAAACCAAGTTTTTGGTTTTTTATTTTTATCTTTTTAAAAAAAAAAATTTTTCCACGAAATTTGGTGAAAACTTACCTTTTTATGTCCCAAATACACTGTAATTTATTTGATTTGAAATATTTATTATTTCGCCTTATTTTGACTTAATATCAAAAAAGCACCCTAATTTTCAATCGAAAATTCTCGCGTCAAAATATCAGCTTTTTTCGGTGTGCTTTTTGTTCGTTGAAATCTCTACTTTCTGATGGTGTAAAAAAAATATACATTACTATGGTAAATGTTCTCAGAAAATACAAAAAGTATTATAATGAATAACGTAATCAGAATGAAGTACCTAAATTCAATAGTATGATTTACATGTATTTTTATATTTTATGAGATTTTCTGACATAAATGTTATTAGAATTTAATAAATAAACTTTTTAACTAAAAAAAATTGCAACAATCACATTTTTTTGATGAAATTGTACATAATGATTAAAATAAATTTTCGAATTCGAGTTTTTTTCGTTATTCATTATAATATTTTTTGCATTTTCTGAGAACATTTACCATAGTAATGTATATTTTTTTTACACCATCAGAAAGTAGAGATTTCAACGAACAAAAAGCACACCAACTTTTTGAAAAAAGCTGATATTTTGACGCGAGAATTTTCGATTGAAAATTAGGGTGCTTTTTTGATATTAAGTCAAAATAAGGCGAAATAATAAATATTTCAAATCAAATAAATTACAGTGTATTTGGGACATAAAAAGGTAAGTTTTCACCAAATTTCGTGGAAAATTTTTTTTTTTTTAAAAAGATAAAAATAAAAAACCAAAAACTTGGTTTTTTGAATTTTTCACATAAATTTTGAGGTTATGTAAAAAAATTGTAATTACAAAAGTTGTAGATCCTTTTATTACCTACAACTTTGCCATTTAACTTTTTTTCATAGGACTTGTACTATAGTACCTAGAATATGTTATAAATTTGTAATCACCGTACGAATTTAAGAGTAATTTTTGGTATTTGGCATATTAATGTGGTGTCAGTGAAATTTTATATTTCCTATTCCTATAAACATTTTTCGACGCGGACGACGATAACATTCTATTTTCCATATTTCTCGGCCATAAACCAAAAATTATATTTCTTATAACTGATATTTATTTTTTATTTATGTTCTCTGCTGTGCAGTAAATTACGGAACACAACCATTATAGGATATTTACATGAATTCATTCTACAGTGACCTGTAAGTTTACATTTTCTCTGATGATTTCGAGCTAAACGCGATAGATGGAACCATCTAAAGGAAAATATATCGAAATATTATATTTTCATTATTGTAGTGTACGGCGGTGTATATTATAATTTGATTTTTGAACTACATACAAATATAAAGTCTTTCTTTACAGGCTTATGAGTGTTATAATGGGATAATTGCTATACGCTTGAAAAAATATACTGTTATATTATATACATATATATGTAAAGAAAATATATTTTCTTTAAATATTATCACGCTCTTCCGAGCTTAGATATAATTATTGTCATTTAATTATTAATAGTTGATTATTGTTAGTAAATCATTGTTAGATTGACAATTTACAAATTACTTGTAGTTAGGAATTGACATTATGATTGATGAACATTAAATGTCGTTTCTTTGATTACAGGTAAGGTTTTTTGTAATAGTTTAAGGTTTGTAAATAACAATATAATCTTTGATTACAGAAACTCAATTATGTTCTAATTTTGATGTCATTCCCCCTAATTACCCAAAATATCTTATAAAACGACATTTCTTGTCAAATCTATGAAAAAGAAAAAAGTTAAAATGGAAAAACTAAAGTTTGAATTTATTATGAAAGCGAAAAAGGATGATGAAAAAACAAATATATTGTGTATTAATTCAATTACTACAGTTGAAGGAGAAACTTTTGATTTGCCGGAAGATTATCAAGATGTTAATCAACATACTGAATTGAAGAAGACTGAAATTTTTAAAAAAGTAAAAAATGCAATCCTAAAAAGGCATCAGAAAAGAAATGTTTGGGTCGTATTAAATGATACTTTAAGAAATATTTATTTTGATGATGGTGGAAATGTGCAATTTTCTGATTACATTTTGGAGGAAAGATTTGAGGAATTACAACCCATAGAACAAACTGGCAGCACAGTTGGTATAACAAAAATAAATCTGAATAAATTAGTAGAAAAATTTGTGTTGGAGAAATTTACAAGCAAAAACACAAATGTGTTACAATGGATGGATCTATTTGAGAGTGAGTGTGGGCGTTTAAACTTACAAAAAGATGAAGAGAAAATAGAAGTCCTTAGGTTGTTTTTGGAAGGCGCTTGTTTAGATTGGTATAGCTCAATGTTAATGAAACTTACAATTAATTCAGATTGGATTAAATGGAAGAATAACTTCTGTGAGACTTATGCAGATAAAGGATGGTCACCTGTAAAATATGCAATATCCTTTAGGTATATAAATGGACCATTATTGGATTATGCTTTGAGGAAAGAAAAAATTTTACTGGAAATGAATAAATCAATAACCTCAGAAATACTAATTGACTTAATTGCAACAGGATTACCAGACTTTGTGACAAATAAAATTAATAGGACAAATTTAAAAGAAACAAAAGATCTATTTAATGAAATCAGGAGCTTGGAACATTTAGTGAAAAATAATACTTTTAATAAAAAGAAAAATATACTTACAAATTTAAAAGAAAAACCTGAAAAAAAACCATGTAAAATATGTGAAAAATCAGGTAAAACAAATAGATATCACCCGGAAGATTCATGCTGGTTTAAAATGAAATCAAACTTTACCAAAGAAAAGCACCAAATTAGGCTTGTCAATAATTCACAATTAGAATGTGAATTACAAAATGATAATTCAAAAAACTAATTGTGCCGCCATTAATTAAAATAAAATTAGTATTAAATGATATTCTTGAAATATTTGGAGTCTATGACTCTGGCTCAAATGTTTCACTAATAAATTCAAAATTACTGAAAATGAATAAAAAA